GACATGAAGGTGGCGCATTCCGAATGCAATTTCACTTTCCTTGCGGAATAATGGTCTGATCAATTATTCCGTTAGGTAATGTTGGCGTTTATTGCAAAACTGATGTTTTGGATGCATTTAAACAACATAAACACTAATAAGCGTTGATTTTACAATTTGACGACATCTCCCTATAATCTCAAAATTTAGCTGCCTATAGCTGTCAAATTTTCTTTTGGGAAAAATCCTCAAAAATTACTTTTCCGTTTTCTTTTCAGCTGCGTACCAGGCTTAAAGAGCCTAAATTTCAGGCTCTTTAGCTGACCTTTTTCAACGCTACACACTTAGAAAATAATACCGAACTCGGTTTAATTTTCTACCGAACCTCTTCGGTTACCAACGAGGAACCGAATAAATGGTTTGAAAAAAAATTCGTGCGTATTTATCGATTCAGACCCGAATTTCGGTAAAATAGTATAAATTTGGCAGACAGAAATGAAAACTGAACCGAAAAGTACGGTAAAGTATCGACATTTACGAATTCGCTACGTGAAAACCGAGAAACTCGGTAAACTGAACCAAATATTCGCTAAAACGTGTTAAACATCAAACGATTAAACGTCAAACGTTCCACTTGAGCTCAACTTCGCGATGGAAATTTTAACCGAAAACTCGGTTCTCTAACCTGAGTTTAAAATTATTCAGCCATTTTTTTCTCGCGTGTGCTCGTCGGACGTGTGCAAAACTATAGTAAAAATGGAAAAAAAAGTTCTGCAGCAGCTGCAACAGGATGATGCACGCTTGATTGAAATCTTTTGTAAGTATTTGAAACTAACGGTATGATTTTATTTGCAAGCATCTTGTACTATAGTTTGTTACAAGGTTATGTCTCTGGCTTGCAAAGGCATTTTAAAAACCATTTGAATAAGAATGACTTCAAAGTCAGTGATATTTTTTGACTGTACTTTTCCACGCTGTAACTCGCGTTACGGAAGTTTTTATTCACCAAAACAAATTAAATAAATATATTTCATACATTTCTTTGACAAAACTGGTTTTATTCTTATGAAAGTTCGAAGCAAAGTGTTCTTAATCAAAATTTAAATCAGGATGTGAAGTGAAAACCGCGCGCTGCTCAAGAGAACCGAATTCCATAATTACAACAGGTGGGTCGGTTTGTTTGACAGCGTTCGGTAATTCTTGAGTAAACCGATGTTCGGTTATTTCTGCTTAAATTTATTTTTCGTCAACCGAGATTTTTGGTAACTTTAACAGATTGTGGGTAACAAAAGAACTAACGACAGCTCAGTTATTCCTCTTTGAACCGAACAGACTGCCAAGCGTTCAGCAGATAAAAACTCGGTTGAAATCAAACCGAGTTTGGTAATATTTTCTAAGTGTGTAGATGGTGCGTGAAGCAATATTTTGTGGGTCGCCATTGCAACATTTGGAAAAGGCATAAATGGATCATATTGTTAATATGATATATTTGTGCTATGGTCAACATCGACCGATAACAGCCTGCATTAGATTCGGATGAAAACGGGTAGCAAAGGATTGGCACGAAGCAGTAGGAAGGTCATGGGATCTATCTATGGTAACCACCATTTTCTCTCTTTATTTATACAGCTATTCACCTACGACGCCCACATTCATCAGGATTCACCTTTCGACAATGGGAAGCTGCAGATTTTAGAAATATTTATCACCGTTGAACGTCTTTCTTTGACAGTTGGGGAATGAACACAACAAGATTGCTGTGTTGCCGTGCATCCCATATTCAGCAACTCGAGTTACTCAGAGTTGCTCAAAATTAACTCAAATATTACTCATGATCAAAAGCTGTCTTGCCCCCAGAAGAGAATCGATCAAATATGATAGGCCCTTTTCTCGTGTTGCGCGAGATTTCATTTAGAATGCGCCACCTTCATGTCGATCACGATACTAATGTAATCGATCATTCCTTTACCGATTTCTTTTAAAAAGCCTGGTACGCAGCTGAAAAGAAAACGGAAAAAGTAATTTTTGAGGATTTTTCCCAAAAGAAAATTTGACAGCTATAGTCTGCTAAATTTTGAGATTATAGGGAGATGTGGTCAAATTGTAAAATCAACACTTATTGAGAAATCCAACTTAAACTCATGCGCGCCTGGTGGCAGGAATAAGCACTAACCGACGGTGATAAGTCTGTGACAGCCCTTGAAAATTTCATTGCTTGTTTGCAAAATTATTTAATTTCAATGTAATTTCATGAAAATTTCTTGTCAGCATGGATGAATCTTGTACAAAATGCATAAAACTATTTTCTAATGCATTGTTCTTAAATAAAAAGCTACTTCAAGACTTATAAATTACTGAAAACATGTTAAGGTTTGAAATCATCTGCCGATTAAACAACAGACAAAGTTGGCCGACTAAATCCATCGACGAAAAACTATTAAATAGGCCGATTGCTCGGTGTAGCACCAGACGAAAAACGATTTAATCTGCTGATTAATACACCGACTGAAATTTATTTTAAGTGACAATAGATTTAGGCCCTTATTACGGATGCCACTTCACGGTGAAGTGACAACTTATCACTCACGGTGAAGTGATTCCCATTTGATTTACACGGCAATCACTTCACCGTGAGTGAAAAGTGGTCACTTCACTTCGTTTTCACCGTGAAGTGACACCCGTAATAAGGGTCTTAGTCGGTGGACGATTCGGGTGATTTTGGATGATGTTTGTTTATTTGGAAGATATTTTCGAAACAAAGCACGATAAAATTCAGCATTATAAACCTTTATTACGAGTACTACTTTTTTGCTCGGATCATGTTTTGCCTTCCACAGAAACTCGCTAGAATAAATAGAAAATAATAGTTTTTTGGTTGAAATTTCAAAAATGTATTCAGTTTGACACATTATTTCGGACTTATCACCGCTGCGATTGCAGCGTCACGGCGGTCGATTGAAACATGGATTTGTCAATTAGTGTTTATGTTGTTTAAATGCATCCAAAACATCAGTTTTGCAATAAACGCCAACATTACCTAACGGAATAATTGATCAGACCATTATTCCGCAAGGAAAATGAAATTGCATTCAATATGCGCCACCTTCATATCGATCACGATACTAATGTAATCGATCTTTCCTTTAGGGGCTGTTCATAAACTACGTAGTTTTTTTTTTAGATTCTTGACCCCCCCCCCCCCCCCTCCCCCTGCGTAGACAATTGTCCATACAAAAATTTTAAAATTTGTATGGGCCGTGGATACTTGTCAACCCCCCCTAAACTGTCTACGTAGTTTATGAACAGCCCCTTACCGATTTCTTTTGAACTGCGTACTGGGTCAAGAAATGCTAATTAATTAATCATGTTTTGTTGTTTTTGACATCATCCACATCCAGAGGGCCAGTCACTTCGAATGTATGGGAATGGTAGGAAACCATTTGGAAATGCATGAAAATTTTCAGTTTTTATTCATTGCCGTCTTTATGGGCAGTTTTAGGTGCACAAAAATTGCACGAGTACATTACTATGGTGATAAGGTAAACACTCGTTTATTTGTTTCCTTCTGTGAAAGCATGTTTAGTCACAAATCGTGGATTTTCTGATATTCTCCATACTGCAAAAATGATTTTCCTACCACTGAAGGGGCGACATCTCTCGGATCTTCAGTATAGCTACTACTCAAATCATATAATTAATTATATGATTTGAGTAGTAGCTATACTGAAGATCCGAGAGATGTCGCCCCTTCAGTGGTAGGAAAGTCATTTTTGCAGTATGGAGAATATCAGAAAATCCACGATTTGTGACTAAACATGCTTTCACAGAAGGAAACAAATAAACGAGTGTTTACCTTATCACCATAGTAATGTACTCGTGCAATTTTTGTGCATCTAAAACTGCCCATAAAGTGGATAATGAATAAAAACTGAAAATTTCCATGCATTTTCAAATGGTTTCCTACCATTCCCATACATTCGAAGTGACTGGCCCTCTGGATGTGGATGATGTCAAAAACAACAAAACATGATTAATTAAAAGAAATTTCTTTAGCATTCCGCACGGTAATCGCAAAAAACTCTTTTATGACTATAAAGTACACATTTTTGAATGAAAATGGGACTACCCACAAAATGAGTAAAATTTTACACATTTATGAGTAATTACTAGTACAAAAATGAATAAATTTTATGCATTTATGAGTACCAGATACTCATAAAATGTGTAAAAAATACACAGATTTTAAGTGTAGTCCCGTTTTAGCCGAATATGCATACTTTATAGTCAAAATTGAGTCCTTTATAGTCATTTTTGCGTATTTTGCGGTTTCCGTGCGTGTCCTATCCCGTAGCACGTAAAAACGTCATTACTTTTCAGCTGCGTACCAGGCTGAACTCTGGAGCAACAATAGAAAAGGGCCCATCAGCATTTGTAAACAAACCGTTCTAAATAGCAACGGATAAAGTTGTCATATCTTTTGCATGTGGGTTCATGACTTAGCTAAATATTTCCCGCGAACACGGAGTCAGATGTCAGTAGTGTGCTTTGGTCAGTTAACAAGTTTGGCGTTTGGTACGACACTTTAGTTAAAAAGCTACCAAACGAAGTCAAGGAGAACGCGTGATATGAATGGGCGAGGAAATCACTCAGTCGCTGTCCCATACAAAAATCCAACAAAGCTGAAACATTAATTTGACACATTAGAACACCTATATGTAGTCACCTTGGTTCAACGAACTGGAACAATTTCATGTGTAAATTTTAAGATTAAAGTACGGTAGAAATGGTTTGAAAATCTTGTTCTTAAAAATAAAAAAAATAAAGTTTTGTTTGTTCTACAAGTCGTTAATTCCATAACACGATGGTCTCTTCAATGTCGAGTTGACTGTATGATAAAATAGAAACCATTAAAGATAGAAGATTTGGTTTCTTCAACAAATTTGCTTCAAATTAATTGTTCTACAAACTCGGACCTTATGGACAATTTTCGGTACATTTTAGCCAAGGGCCAAACGGGTTCATAAAGTTGAATCGGTTTTATTTTTTGCTGGTTAATATTTTTCGCTCAATTTTTAAACCTTTCTCTAAAATTGCGCACTTTGACGGATATGAGATCCGCGCCCCACACACGATCCATCGTGTGGAAGAACATGACATGCGTCCACAGTGCGCCCAGCACTGTCTCGTTAGATACATAGAGGCTTCTTTTCTTTTGTATTCTTGGAATTGGGTTTAACGAATGTGTTCTGTTGTATAGAATCAGTTACCTACTGTTTCATATTCTTCACAAGTAAAAAATAGACTTTCTATCGACAATCGGATTGTTGGTATAAATTAAAATAGATGTACGTGTAGAAACTAGCTTTCTCCTAAGTCTTAGAAACTACCATATTGGCCAGTCTTTCGAGCGCACATTCACTCCACAGACTATTCCGTTCACATTTCACTTGGTACAGACGATATTTGTGTTTGCATGCAGCTTCCTTACGATCTAGGTCCTGTATTTTACAACTGTACATGTTACGATGATGATGAATAGAGACGGCTTCTTAGAACTTCCATTTGAGAACACAGACAATCCGATCCTGCTGAGACTGGCTTTTCGTTTCAACTGCGTCTAACTATTTACATGCAGTGCAGTGCCGCCGTGCGTACGTGTGAGTTTGTGTATTTACTTTCGAAAACAAAATGCTTTCTTTCGATCTCTATAATATGTACATGTTAAACCTAGGGGACGAAGAATTGAGGTATCAAAAAAAAAAGAAGTGTAAATTCGTATGACCAATGGAACAAACTAAGAATTTACTCCACGAGTTGACCTACTCAGATGAGACAATAAAAAAACAAATTTTTTAATGCGTTTCCTTGTTTACTTACAAAATGTTGGTGAGTTAATAAATTACGAACTGAGTTTAAAACAAGATTCTTTTTTTCTAAAAAAAAAAAAACAGAAATACTCCTTATCAATTATGCCCTTATGGTGGTATCAAAAAGTACCAAGTTGCTCTCACTATATATCAGGTTATATAGCATCTTCTGAGTTGTTTGTTTTGTCCTTTGTTCTGTACACTATTGAGAAAAGTCTTATATACATCCTATAGCCATTGCATGCACTGCTTCACTGCTTTCCCTTAGAGACCAGACGAAAACTACGAGTTGGTCGGTGGCGGTGGCCTCCGATCGTATTCGGCTCGTCCCCCACTGCCGCCGCTGCCGCCACCACCTCCTCGGTAGTCCATGAAGTCACCACCAGGAGCACCGCCACCCGGTGGTCCTCCGCCTCGATCATATCCGGCAGCATAGCGGTACTGATTGTCACCCGGAGGATAGTAGCCACCCGTTGGCATTGGGTAGTGATTGCTGGGGTAACCTCCTGGCGGGGGCGGGTATCTACAAGCGGAGAGATAATGATTATTATTGGATGAAACGGGAATGCAGGCAGTGTCGAACTCACCTTCGCTTGTCCTTGTAGGACCGGTCGCCTCGATCCCGGTCTCGATGATCACGGTGGTAGTTCGATGGCGGGTGTCGACTGTAGCCGTCGTATCGGTCACGTTTGTGGTCGCTGAATCTGTGAAGACGTTGGGAAATCGAAATTAAGATCTTTCTATGTCTACGAAAATCGTCTCTATAGGCTACTCTCAAAGCTACAAAGCTACTAGGTATTTGAGAATGATTATTGATGGAAATACGATTGCTACGAATAGTTCCTTGTGGCAAATTCACAACGTTCACAATTATTCCTCCATACCACCACAAAAACATTTTCCAGTTCCACTTACCTATCTCGACTACTCCACCGATCGTCCGGATAGGGTCCACCGCGCCCTCCTCCTCCTCCTCCTCCTTCTGGGAACATTCCACCGCGCATACTCTGAGGCGTACCGGGAGGTCCACGGGACATACCACCCCGCGGACCCCGATCCCGGTCGTAATCATCCCATTTTTTATCCCGATCTCGATTATTCCTGCAATCACACACACCGCAAATTAGCATCCAACAATGCCTTCCTTTCAAAACGAAAAGACTGTTCCTCACCTTCCATCACCATGCAACCGCTTGTACTCCTTGGTGTTTTCGTCCAGTTCACCATCCTCGAGTTTGCGCTTGACGGCCGAAAAGGAACTGTCGTCCTTCCCGTCATCACCCGCTCCTCCCCGTTCAGGTGTCGAAGGTCCCCCGTGATGCCGTTTCTTCTCCTTACGTTCCCGCCGTTCGCTACTGCCACCACCGGATTTCTCCTTTTCTCGTTCCGCCAACGGTGTCGATACCACTGGCGTACCCTGCAGTTGATTTTGGCTGTTATCCTTCTTGCTAATCTTCTTGATTTTACCCAATGTCTGCAAAGCTTGCGGTGCCCCAGGAATGTTGCTTTTCGAATTTTTGGCTTCTTTGACGGGCGAATTCTGTGTCGAACCGCTGCCATCCTTCGAGTGATGGTGATGACCGTGACTGTGACCGTGATGATGGTGACCATGACCGTGATGATGATCCTTCTTCTTCTCACTGCCTCCCGCAGCGTGGTGGCCGTCGTCGCCTTCACTCCGCTTCAATGCGTGCTTGTACAGTTTGAACAGTTTCTTGGCATCGAATTCGGTAAATTTCGACACAAAATACCACAGATTGCTCCTCCATTCCTTGACCTTCTCCGGGTCCTTGAAGACCGAGAGACACTGGTTGATTTGATTGCCGATGCTCAGCAGGCAAGCCCTCGTCTGGTTGACCTGTTCTTGTGGCGGAAGCGTCTGATCCGGATTATCGAGCGTTTTCAGGGCTTTCTTGACCGGTCGCATCTTCTCCTTGCACTCGTTGAACACACTCGGATCCAAATCACCGATGATATTCAACGCACATGGCTCGTTGTTCGCCGTGAAGTGCATCGGGCCAGTGTTCTTCTTCTTTTCCTTCTTGACGGAGTTGGTCTTTTCCTTCTTCTTTCGTTCCTTCTTCTCCTTATGTGTGGGTTCCTTGTGCTCTTCCTTGGGACCATTTGAACTCGTATCGTGCTCGTGATGATGCGAATCCGATTCGGACAGCTTCTTGATCTTGGAAGTATTCGGCGTCGAGACTTTCTTATCTTCCGTCGAGGAAACGTCATTTCCTTCCGGTTCTTCCTTGATGGCACCCGGCGACAGCGGGGAATGGACAATCTCCGCCGAGATGGCTTTGGCTTCCCCGCGAGGTTTCCGCTGTTTACGTGGTTTCTTACCGATTCCCTTCTTCAGTTCGATGTGCTTCCGGATGATTTTTAGCAGATACTCGGCTCGCGATTGCAGGTGCTTTGCTTGAGGTTTTTTGTCCGCTTCATTCAGCAGAATTTTGTCGGAGAGATTCAGTGAGTCTTCCATCTTCATCGCCTCCCATGAACCGATACCGAATTGGTAGATTCCTCGCAGCAGTCGCGAATCATCTTCGTTGGTCCATTCGACGTCGAAATTGGCCGATCGGGTTTTGATGTTCAGGATCCACTTGGTCCGTTCGTCCGGATCTTGAGGAAGAAACTCATCCAGTGGTGTCAGTTCTTCTACGCACTGCAGTAGAGTTTTTACATTGAACGACACGCCTCCAAAGCGAATGGAGAAGGCAGCACGCGGACCGCGTTTAGCCTTCTCTTCCGGGATACTTTTCTCTTTCTCCTCGTTCTCTTTCGAATGTTCCATGAACTGAACACAGCGCTCCTGCAGCATTTCTGCTGCTCGCTTCAATTCTGAAAGAGGCTTTTCCTGCAATTCGGCGTCCACGGCGATCGCTTCCAGTCTCTTTAACGGAGCAGGGAATTTTTTGTAGCTCTTAATCAGTCGCCTCAGCTCGGTATCCGAGAAGCCTGGGATTTTCTCCTTGTTAGAAGGTCTTCCTCTCGTACCCGCCTTTTTGCCACCTTTACCGTCCTCGCTACCATCCGATTCCTCTTCGGTTTCGTCGTCGGCTTGGCGTCTCCGCTTTTTCTTACCGGTACTACCCTCGTCGGGTTGGTTCAACTGTTGAAGAGTTTTTCTCCTCGGTGGAAGATACAGATCATTCAGCTCCTTATTGCGCTCCTCTGCTTCCACCCGTTCTCGGTAATTTTGAGGAATAATCTCGTCCCAGTCTTTCGTATCACCATCCTGCTCCGCCTCCGTCGGTGGCTTTGCGGTATTTCGCATCGCAGAAGTCTCCTTCTCCTCGTCGAAATCGAACGTCTTGACGTTGAAAGCCGACAGCAGCTCATCACCCGGCATCTCGGGATTCTCATCCCTGGTTTCCGCCCGCTTAAGAATCTCATCAATATCACATACCAGTTCGTCGTCTCCTTCCTCATCTTCCTTGAACAGCTCTTCCGCCCCAAACTTCAGAATCGCCGACAACTCATCCTTGTTGAAAGGATTGGTTGCATTGCTGCCTCCGTTTTTGTCCAGAACCGTCCGACCCGTCGTATCCATCCGCTGAATAACCAAATGATCCAACACCATCTTCTTCTTCGCCCTCTCGACAATATCTTCCTCAATGGACCGCGCCGTCACCAACCGGTAGATGTTGACCTGGTTCTTCTGTCCGATTCGATGGGCTCGGGCCTGTGCCTGCAGATCGTTCTGTGGATTCCAGTCCGAGTCGAAAATGATTACCGTGTCCGCCGTGGCCAGATTAATACCCAACCCGCCGGCACGGGTCGACAGCAGGAAACAGAAATCTGTCGAGCCATCCGCATTGAAGTGATCCAAAGCTTGCTTACGAAGTTCGCCCTTAATACTGCCATCCAATCGTTGGAAGGAGAAATGCCTTTTCTGTAGATACTCCGCCAGAATGTCCAGCATTCGTACCATTTGGGAAAAGATCAGCACCCGATGACCGGTTTCCTTCAACCGACAGAGCAATTTGTCCAACAGAACCAGCTTGCCGGATCCTTTGAGTAACTGAACCACCACTTCGTCCTGATTAGTCTGCGTTTCGAATTCCGTCGGCCGGGTTAGCAGGGCATGATTGCAGCACTTCTTCAGTTCGATCATAATGTTTAGGAATGTGTTGATCGATCCCTTCATACCCTTTCGCAGGGCATCGAAGTTCTTGGTGAGGATCCATCGGTAGTACTGCCGCTGGATGGAGGTCATTTCTACCCGGAGAATTTGTTCCACCTTCGCAGGAAGACTTTTTTCGACATCTTTTTTCACTCGTCGAAGGATGTACGGTTCGAGCTCCTTGTGCAGTTTGGTGTACGATTTGTCGTTGCTGGGATTGGCATAGTTTCGTTCGAACGATTCCCAGTAGTCGAACCTGCCGGGCATGATGAAGTGGAGCAACGCCCACAGTTCTTTGAGCGAGTTCTGCAGAGGCGTACCAGTGATCAGCAAGCGATAGTTGGTGTCGAATTCTTCCAACGCTTTATAAAGCAGGGAATCGTCGTTCTTCAACCGATGGGCTTCATCGACTAAGAGCGCTGCCCAACTGACGCTTCCCAGGAAGGTCTTGTCCTTCAGCAGAATCTCATAAGTCGTCAGGATGGCATTGAACTTGAGCTTCTTGTTTTCGAAGCACCATTCATACTGACGGATGATTTCACGCGAGGCCACATCTCCCAGGTATGTGACGACGTTCAACTCCGGTGCCCAGATGGCAAACTCCCGCTGCCACGCCGTCATCGTACTCAACGGAACCACACACAGAAACGGACCATATAACTGTTGCGCCTTGAACAAGTAATACAGGAAGCAAATGGTCTGAATCGTTTTACCTAAGCCCATTTCGTCCGCTAGAATAACGGAATTCTCCTTGCACCAAGTCAGAACCAGCCAATTAAGACCATCCATTTGGTAATCTCTCAGTTTCAGGCCTCGATCCTCTCCCATATAATCGGGTTGTGACTTGAGGTGATGGAATTTCGGTCGATTTTTTATCACTCTACAATGCTTCGAAGGTGTCCTCCTGCTGTTATCTCTATCTTGGAACTCCTCGACTTTCTTTTCCCACTTTCTCACTATCAACGTTGCATCTTCCCAGGTGGAATCTGCATAGGGAAGCGACTCCCACTTGCACAGATAGTCGATTCCGCTTTCCGGCTTCTCCACCTGAGCTATCACTCGCTCCACATTGTAGTAGCTTTTGAGCAGATCCTGCTGCAGTTCCTGTTGACATTCGTAGTAATCAATGTCCTCCGGACCAGCCTGATACTTTCGCCAGTAGTCGATATCCTTCTCCCGCTTGATGTAATTCTCCAACTTCTTCATTCCCTTCACCCGCTGCTCCTTCAACGTTTCTTCCGATTCCCAAGTGCAATGCAGATACGACCAGCCGGACCATTTGATCAAATACTGCTGTTCCGTATTTTCCGAATCGTTCTCATCGACACCCTCGTTCGGATCGCCACTCTCGTCCACGGCATAAGTCGTCGTTGCCGCCCCCGTTGCGCCCTTCTTCCCAACCCGTTGCCCTATTATCCTTTCGATTGTTTCAGTCTTCTCCTCTTCGGCAGCAGCGGCCGCAGCAGCTTCCTCTGCTTCCTGATCCACCTCAAGCAAATCTTCGCTATCGGTTAGGTCGTCACCGCTTGCCTCCTTATAGCTAACAGCTGTTTTCCTGCGATTTCTACCCTGCCGCGAGTTTTCCCCACCGCTGTCACTGCCCTCGTCCGATGAGTATGCAGCAGCGCTTTTCTTTTTCTTTGCCGTTTTTGATCTCGCTGCAGGAGCAGGACGTTTTTTCGCAGCAGCAGCAGCAGCCGCCGCCTTGCGGGCACCGTAACTCCGGCTGTCATCTTCGTCATCGGAACTGTCCAGACCACTGGCGTCACTGCCCTCCGAGGTTTCCGACTTCCAACGGCTGCAGCAAATGAGAAAAACAAATAATGGCGCATTAGTTTTGTCTTGGTAAATTCAATGTGCCGGAACGAAATGGCTAATTTTAGTCGTATGTCGTCATTGGGTGAAAATTTTCCGCTTCTGCGCAGTCGATTGGCAGAGGAATGTTCTAGAAACGTCTCATCGCAAGATCCAAAACTAATTTGTTGAAAAAGTCGCTTCATTCAACTAATTCTTTACCTCATGTTTAGCCGAACACTTTACTCAATTACTTTTATGGAAAGCTATTTTTTACTTTTAAATCGTAAGTCAAATATTCTTTGAAATGACAAATTTAACGATTTTTTGATAGTTTTATAGTGTATAAACTTTTTAGTTTAACTTTTAGAAACAATGCTTCCAAACGATCACCACTTAAAAGTCAGCAGAACTCGGAAAGGCTCGCGAAATGCTACAACTGTAAAACTTCTTCGAAACTAAATTTTTTCTTCGGGCGACACCTTTTCAATAAACGTGTGTGTTTCGATTCAAGGCACAAATAATTCTGACCACTGATTTGCAACCAGAAGATGCCAGAAGCTTCCCAGTTGAAGCCAGTCGGATCGAATAGAGCTAACTTCTTTCTAAGAGATGTTACGATACAAAACAAGTCCAATATTTGAGCAGAGATGAGGTTTCTACATAACCAGTCAGTAGATTTGCCTAGTAGAGTTTGAGTAACATTGTCATATTCCAACAGCCAAGCTAGTTTTATGCCCAGTACAGTGCTTGTGAGCTATTAAGCTTATTATAATGCTCGAAAGCACTACACTAGCCGTATACACCAGCTCGTATGCTGAATTAACCGAATTCGGAATGGATGCTGGAAGGCAAATCAACTGACTGGTTCAATGGAAGCCTTTAGGCTCTCATATCCAGTCATGCGAGCTAGGACACGACCAATGCAGTGCTTGATAGCAAATTTTGCGATAGCACACGCCGCCTTGTGCTAGATTTGAACAAAACATATTTGAAACCATACGATTTAAGAGGCCTCGATCGCCTTTGTCGTTGCCTTTGAAGAAAACAATTTGATAGTGAGTGGCGTTGAAATTAAGCACACCGTCAAGTTTGCTTTCGGAAATGGAAGTGCGAAACTCACCATGGGCGAAATTGCTAATTTCGTGAAAGCACTGGATGCGGATCCCATTCGAATGGAAGCGACATGCAGGATAGCTGAGGAGAAATCCTTTTTCATAAAGTTTAAGTCCGCATAATCGATCTCACCGCGATCTAGCGTTGATACTACTGTGTTACCTGACTTATAACGAATATACTTTGTATCAGCGGTTCCTCAAATACAACGTATACTTCGTCTAATTTAACATAGCATATGCAATGCAAAATTAGAAGAGGTCATGTTCCTTCGAACATAACGTATATTCGTTATGAGTCAGGTAAGACAGTAGAGAAATATAGTAAAGTGAAGCGCGTCATCCGGAAAATTTCCCAGCTGAACTGTTCTTCGACATGTACACTGGTGTACGTGGTGTAGGTATATGGATGTGAAAAAGAAAATCCCCACCTTACTGCATTTTCTCAATCGGAAGGGGAACAAAAACAAATGTTTTTGGGTATGCTAGAGGGACACCGGATGAATTCCTGTCCCCTAAGCGGAAGGCTCGGAAGCAGCTAAAAAAGCAAGAACAGCACGAAGAACGAAAGCAGGATGATGAGAACCGCGAACATTGGTTTGGTAGCAGTTTGAATATTAGTTTGTGGGGTGATGATAACCGAAGGTGCCACAGCAGAAGCAATTGAGGTGCTCGATGCAGAAGTGGTGGCAATCGACGAGATGATTCCGAAGGCCGGAGAGAACGGGAAACAAACGAGTGAAAACCAGCAGCGACCGTGTTTCGAATACCGGAAAGACGCGAAGTATTTAGTTGCAAAGGAGCTGTTGAAACAGCAACAATGCATTGAAAAAAAGAAGAAAATTGCGGGCGTGAGAGAAAGTAAGTAGAAAGCAGTCCAGGGTGTCTACTAATTTTGCTAAATAAAATTCCCGGAGTTTTCCACATTTTTTTCAGTTTCGGAAAATTTCCAGCTTTATAAGAAGACTGGTTTTAGAACAACAGCTTACTGTATGATGATGATGTATGATAATTGTCTACCAGTCATTGTAGCACTAAGTCCGATAGCAGTGGGCGCTTCTCACGGTTTGATTTCATCAAGCTTAATAATCTCTGATTGTCCTCAACATGTCACTGTATGAAGGGCCAAAAACGGGTTTGGTGGATCGATAGGTAAATTCACCTATAAGCCTCCACGGGATGGTTGAGAATGTCCTTCCGCAATACCGCAATCAGTGTGGAGAAGAGCCCGCCCTTTTCCACGAGATGTTAAAAACAGGGAGTTGCCAATTTCACTCTCCCCATCCAAATCGCTTCAATCGGGTGCCCTGATGGTCCCTCGCAATCCCAGCATTGTTTTGTATATATGAGCAATAATAAAAATTTAAAATGATCTCAGAAACTTTCGCTGTTTCTTCACCCTTTTGTCTGATTTCCGTGCTTAATTGTGAACTCGCTGGTCTGCTAGTCGCTACTAGTCTCCCGAAAGTCTCCCATCTTATTTCTGATGTGTTTCGACGTCCATTATCTTTGTATGATGATTTTGAGTTCCTAGTTGCGTCTTATAAAACCGTAACACCAATGCGGAAAATGAACAGTATCTCCCGGTATTTCCTTAACGAGCAGCATCACTCCATTGTCGTATCGTATGTGCTCCATTTTGCAGCGCTTCTTTTACTTTTTACTTTGTTGACTCCATGGTACCGGAAAAGATATAGATATTTACATTATCCAGCAATGATGTGATATAACCACAACGGGATGGCCGTTCAGAATGGTTCAACGAATGTGAAATGAGGGGACATTTAAATTTAACACGATTTAAAGTATTTCGATGCAACATTACATTTTTGTTCGCTAACAATTAACACATTTTGTAATATGTTATCCTAACTACAGGGCTGGTAGCAATCACGTTGTTAAAAATAGTGATTTTAGTGACCATGTTGATGAAATAAGTGACCAAATAGTGACTTATAGTTGTAAAAATAGTGACTAAAAAGTGACATAAGAGAAGATATTCCCAAATTTTTTTCTGAATTTAATGAAACTGCCTTGAAGTTTTTTTGTAGTTTGAGAAACTAGCCTGAGCCTCACAATACTTGCCATCAAACTCTTAAACTTCCCTGAACTTTTTAGGACTTCCTAAAAATTTCCTAAATGTTTTCTCCTGATTCTCCTCTAAAGGATTAACAATTCGCTGAAGAACTGCTCTGAGGTTCTCTGTTCTTTTCTGAAATTCTCAAAACTTCTCTTAAGTTTTTGCAGTTCTCATGAAGCTTATTGTACTGCGCTGAATTTAATTGAACCGTCCTAAAAATGTTTAAGCTTCAGTAAACTTCTGAAGTTATGCGAAGACTTCAATTAACTTTTTAACGTTTCTGAAGTTATCTGAAAATCTGTGAATTTAAATTTCCCACAAATTTTCTGGAACTGAACTCCCCTCCAATTTTCGGAGCTTACTTCACTTCTTTCAAAAGCTCTTGCATTTTGCTAATGTTCATAAAAATTCCTGAAGTTCGCGGATCTCCCTTTAAGCTCCATAGATTTCATTGAAGTTCTCGAAATGTTACTAAAGACCACTGTGAAGTTTTCAGTTTTTCTAAATTTCTGGAACTTTTGTGATTCCGCAATTTTTACGAAATTCGAATGAAATAATTAATATAGTTCTATGATTTTCTCTGAAGTTCTCGAGACTTTTCTGAAGTTCATGAAACTTCAATTAAATTATCGACACTAATTTAAAACTTCTTCAATAGTCTAGACTTTTCTGGTGTTATTAAAACTGCCTAAACGATTACTGAATATCTTTAAAGTTCTCCAGACTGCACTGAATTTATCAGTATATTTTAAGAAACCGCAACTTTACTGAAATTAATTGATGTGCCTTGAAAATTCGACAATTATAAACGCTCTCTTATTTTCTTATTTAATCTATGCTTTCCTGAAGTTCACTAAATTTGTTTAATAATCCGGCAAATTTTCTGATAAATATTCAAAATTCTCTGACGTTTTCGAATCAATCATAGAGTTCATGGAATACCCCATAATTCCACGGAATTCCTTGTAAGTTGCTGCAAAATTGCTTAAGTTAATGGGATTATTCTGAAGCTATCTGATCGTCCTCGAAGTACTCGGAACTTTGCTGAATATCATGAAACTATCTAAATTTATTAGAAGTTTGCTGGAATTTCTTGAAGATATCGCTGCTTGATAAAAGTTCTCGATTTTTTTTTTAATTAATGGAACTTCGTTGATATTCTCTAATCAACTTAGCTAAATTTTCGCATTTTTTAAAGTTCTTGAAATCTCCATGACAAAACACCCTTAAAATACTCTCACGTTCCAGAAATTCTCTCGGAGGCTTGCTGAAGTATCCGGAGGATTCTACAATTTTCATGAAATTATTTGAACTGCTCTATGATTCTCTGGTCTGTCTGGTTGTTCTTGAAGCTTCTTTGAAGCTCTCAATTCTATTGAAGAAAAACTTCCCAGAAATTCTCTGGACGTCTCGAAGTTCCTGAAATATTTCTGAAGTTTTCATAAATTCTCTGATAGTCTCTGTACTTCCCTGAAATTATCGGAACATCTTAAGGGTTCTCAATTTTTCTAAATCTACGATTATAGATCTTTCAACTGCCCCAAAAGTCTGGACTAAAGTTACGGGAACTGCTCTTAAGATCGGGAATTCCCCAAAGATTTCTGAGGTGCTTAGAACTTGTTAAACATTTGCACAATACCCCTCATGTTTTCTATATTTATCAAGTTCGCTTAACACCTATGATGTGCTCTGAAATTCTAGGGACTTCATAAAAGTTTTTCGGCTGTTAAAAGAACCGATTTGAGGATCTTAAAACTTCCAGTAAGGTCCATATATTTTCAGTGTGTTAACTTCCCTTATGTTCCCGCAGTTTGTTTATGGAGCTTCACCGAAATTCTCAGCATTTCCTTTTATTCCTCAGAACTTCTTCAAAGTTCCTACAATTGTTGTGAAGTTAATGGAACTGCAATGAAGATCTCTAATCTTTCATAAAGTTAATTACGAACTTGAAATAAATCATTTATTTGTTTTCCTTAATCCAGGCACTTTCAAAATTTTCAATATCTTAAACTTGTACTTGGAATACGAAACTTCAAGACATTGAATATTTTTTAAATCTTGGACTTACTTAAATTAAGTGCTTTTTTTAAAAACTATTTTAAGTGAGAAATTAAGCAAGTGCTTAACTTCAACACTCAATGGATTTGATTGTAAACTTCTCGTGTAAACAAATTGCCATGTCTTTAAAACGTTTGAGTTAATTACTGTTGTTTTTGATCTTCCAAAAAAGCATATTTCGAACGCATTTAAAAATAGCTTTCTTATCCATTAAAGTTCTGGAAAAACTCAGGAAATTTTATTTAGAAAAATTAGTAGACACCCTGTACATAGATAGAGAAAGACGATTAAACGTCACAAAGCAAAGAATGATCAACCTTGACATAAATTCACGCTAAAAAAGTTGAAAATAGTGACTGACTACAAGAAAAAGTGACCAAGTCACTAAAAAATGACTCGCTACCAGCCCTTTAATAATTTCTAGAAGAATTTACTTGTGTTTTATAAACACTTAGAAATTATTACCGACTTCGGTAATTTCTTACCGAACTTTCAACAGTTGAACGTTCGGTAAAACTTTGACCCTTATTTCAAAAGCTGTTTCACTAAATTTTAATTTTAAAACGCCGTTCAAATAATCGAGTCTTGCCATTGTGGTGCAGTTTTACTTTTGTTGAAGCTTTAAAACAAATGGATTACAATGCCTGATTTTTACCAAACAGTTCAGCTGTTGAAAGTTCGATAAAAATTACCGAATTCGGAAATCATTTCTGTGTACAGTTCGTATTAATGTTAGTTCAGGTTCTTACATGTGATGAAATATGAAACGCACCTTTTAAAGTGAATTGCACATAACAATGTTCATCATTTATTCACACATGAAATCTGCCTCGACCAATCTGGCAGAACGCGCCCTAACCCTTACTGAACAACAACTCACTAGCCAGAAACATGTTCAAGACATGGCAATCAGCTTTACAATCAAAACCATCATAAGTTTAAGTTTAACATGTATATAATTTTAGTAAGTCTAAGATCTAAAGAAAATAACTGCCATAAACTGTATATTTAACTGTTGTTTTGGAACTTGAAAACTTATCATGGTCCAGAATTTTGGAATTTTTTTTGTTTATTAATTTATTTGATCAGGCTCAACCAATCAGGTTTCATTGTATGGCAGCTTGCGCCAACGGGGATTAGAGCGCTTCCATTGCAGCAATGGACGCAAAACGTGGTCAGCACTCACACATTCATCACGAAACGATTGCTTTCCAAAGTCGACGACGCATCGACTGAAAGAACTGCTGATGAAGAACAATGAGGAGGACCATAAAATGGTTGCTGCCGAGTAAACAGACGATCGCGTGACACACATTGAGAGTGGTCGGCTTCTGTCGACAGCCGAGTGAACACTGAATTTTGGAAGTTTATCCATGTCCGGAATATTCTAAAATAAAACTTCCTAAACCTTGAAGATTTTTTTTTTTAAATCCAGGATTTTCTAACTTTCAGTAGGGGAAAAGTTCTTTTCGGCAATACCTTAACCTATTATCGTCAGGGGGGTAAACAAAGTCCTAGATCACTCAAATTTGGCCAATAGTTGCTCTGAAACACAATGTATCCACATGCCAAAATTGAGCTCTCAAGGACTTTGTTTACCCCCCTAGCGATAATAGGTTAAGGTATTGCCGAAGAGAACTTTTCCCCTACTTACACAAATTATCACACACAAAAACTAACAACTTTGGATTCGCTAAACGCGAAACTCAATAATGTTTCACGAAGTTATAACACGACCTCATCATCTATTACTTTACTCAGATATGTGCTAGTGCTTTCTGGACATTTTTTTCATGAAATACAACGTGGACCTCTACTCTAACCCATGAAGAGTGATCCAGTACAATCTTAAATGGAATAAAGCGTTCGATACATTTTATAGAATGTAGAAAAGACAGAAATCACGTGTTTGCTTTGCAATGCTAAAACTTCACTGAGAAGCTAATTTTCCGAGCTAACCAGAATTTCAATGAAGACCTAAATAAAGCCACTCTATGCTGTCGCAAAAGCTCTCTAATGCGCCCAAAGGATCTTCGTCACTTCGTCAGACGCAATTAGGTGTAACATCTACGAAGTGACGCACATATCCATTTGGAGGCTCAATTGTGCAACAACTAAACAAAGTCTAGTGTCTACGGAAAGATTTTTATCAAACCTCAGTATCTTAGTTCAACTCAGAAATGTGTCCCAGTGGGAGCTGAATTTATATTAGGCGCAAAATCATCAAATTATCCTTTCATTTGAGCAATTCTAGCATTTAAAATATGAAATGAACAACCATCCTCAAACTACATCGAGTATTAAGTTGTTTGAAACTAGCAAAGTTAGTCATACTCATTAATAAATTTCTGTGATTAAGAAATATTTCCCTGAATTTGAATGAAATTCCCTGATTTTCCAGGTAGTCGACACCCTGATTATTGATTTAGTGGCGTTTCGCTACAAATCGGCTTGATATTCAACGAATGGAATTAGGGAGCTTCACGGTATAACATTTGTAATACCACCTGAATTTTCATTGATTTTGTTGTGAATGTTTGAAAAGAGTTTTATTAAATTTGGCTGAAAATTTAGACCATATGATCAAAAATAGAGGCGAACAAAAATCGCGTAAAAACAGAGTATATGTTTTGGTTTATATGGTTTTGAAAGTTGGTGCACACAATTTTCAGCGAGTCAAAAATCAATTTACAAACAAACAGCACGGCTTTTCTAAAGGTCGCTCAGCTACTTCTAATCTTCTTGAATTTGTAACCTTCATTTTTAACGCAATGTACAATGACAAACACTTCAGTAAAGCATTTGACCGAATCAACATACAATTATTACTCTTTAATTTCAAAAAAACAGGAATGGAGTCTAGACTTTTGAATTGGCTTAACGCAACGCAAACAATTAGTTCGTTTTCAAAATAAACTTCAAAGGGAAATGAAACTCACGCACTTTTTGAGGGGTCTTATTGCACCAAAGTAACATAAAAATCCATCTTGAAGATGAATGAGGAGGATTTGGAATTACGGTTGTGAAAATATTGAAAGATACAAGTTTGCTGCGTGGAGGGGTCGGCAAAGTCGGGCCATTACTGTATTGGTAAAATTCACATTAATTACTGGTAATTATGCTTTTTTTTTCTTTTTTAGGAAACAAACTTATGAACGACAATACGACATACTCCTATCAGGGATCGCGCGAAATATTTGTTTTAATATGGATTTAAACTTACCTTTGCTTCTTCTTTTTCGGCTGTGCCGATGCGGTCGGCTTGCGCTTGACCTGCTTTGCTGCTGCCTTCTTACGGGCATTGTTCCGTCGCCTGTTGGCCGCGTAGTCCTCATCCTAAAGGAATCCAACGCATAAGCGACATTAGACAGAAGGAAAGAGGGAAGAGAGGAAAAGGAGACAAAGTGAAGAGAGTAACAATTTAATAAAACCAATGATCCGTAATGAAGGTAAATATTACATCGTAACTACTTTTTGACGAATGCTCCTCATCTTCCTCGTCATCGTCGTCCGAGTTGTGACTTCCCGATCTAGCATCTTGGTCGTCGTCGTCCTCTTGGATCTGACTAGCATTGCTCGGTTTGCCACTGTCATTCGACTCACTGTGGTTTCCGTCACTGCGATTCTCCTCATCAGCACTTTCTTCCGACCCAGACCCCGAGTGAGCGGTACCACTACTTCGAGACTTATCGTTCGTCTCGCCGCTATTGTTTATCTGACTACTGTTGTTGTTGTTGTTGTTCTGACCATTTTCCGCGGTGGCATCATTATCGGACTCGTCCTCTTCGGCCTCGTCGGCCGATTTACTTTCATTGTGATGGTTCTGCTGGTTCGTGCTGGAGTGGACATCTTCTTCCGGCTCGGAGACGGTTCCGTTTTCCTCCGGTTTCGAACCATCCTGGGCGTTGTCGTTGTGCGCGGAAGGGTTCACCACACTGCTGTTGTCCTGACGGCGCTCGGTGTTGCCCTCATTGTCACTGGAACCGGATCCAGACGACGAGCCAGATCCGCTCTCGCTTTCGGAATCGGACGATCCGGATTCGCTTTTGCTGTCGCTGCTCGATTCATGCTCCGAGTCGTCCTGCTTTGGCTGCAAGTAGGAGAGGCGAGAGAGAAAGAGAACGAGGTAAAGAGATTGTACTGATGGGTTTTGGGGCTGGTGTCTATTAATGTTTTTTTTTTTAATTTACTGTTAAGCTAGGGAATTATAAATATGAGCTTAGTCAGCTATGAAGCTATGAAAACAGCAACATAATGGAAGTTTAGCATATGGAAAAAGATTTGTCGGTTCACTTCTGTTGAAAATTTCTCATGTTCCAGTTCACCTTAGACCACTTTTCTGGTATTCCCTTATAATTTGCTCCAGAATACTCTAGAAAATCATCTGCAGAACACTCTTTGCATTCACTCTGTAATGCTCTTCAAATTATAAATAATTCTTGCAGTGTTACTTATGCATTATCAAGCGATTTATTTTGAAAATTAGCTTAGATTTCTCCTTAGCATAAATTTGTATTCTCCCGAAATTATCATTAAATTATTCTACGAATTCATTTTTTTGTTTTGCTCAGAATTCCCTTGAAACTCTCTGAAAACTATCGCCGAAATATCCTTGGAACACTCCTCAAAATTTCCTCCAAATGTTTCTCAAAATTTCGATGGAACTATCCTCGGAATTCAATTTCCTTGGAATTTTCCTCAGAATTACCTTGAACTTAACCTCAGTAAGAAATCATTTGAAATGATTCTCAACATTTTCATTGAATTAACTTCAGAATGCCCTTTGAATTTTACTCCTTTCCTTGAAACTTTGAACAACTTCGAAAGTCTTCTAAGAATTCACTTGCAGTTCTCCTCACATTTTCCTCAAAATTTGTCTGGCTCTCCTGGAACTATTTTCCTAATTCCTTTAAAATTCTCCAGGCATTATTCTCAGACTTAATTGCAACCCTCTTTTTAGCGAATAGCCAATTTTTTCTCCGAAAATGCCCATGGAATAATTTCGGATCGGATCCTCTTTCTCTTTTTGTCATAAATTTCTTCTTGAATTATACTCAGAATTCCGATAGCTTGCTCCATTTTCATTAAAAAGTTCCTTTGAATCCTATTCAAGGTGTACTTGGAATTCTACTCATAACTATCTTGGTATTCTTCTCAGCTTTCACATAGAATCTGGCGTTCCTTAGAACTACCTTAAAAGCAGATTTCACTTCCCAGACCTTGCTTTGGAATGTTTTCCTTATAGATTATCATCAAATTCCTTGAGCCTTGAAAGTTCATTTGTTTTTTTTTTCAAATCTTTCAGGTTTGAAATTTGTGTAAAATATCCATGTTCCACAACCTGAAATCTTGAAGACAAAGCCAAGAGTTCTTGACGCTTTGTCGACGACATACGATATATGGTGTGAGTATGTCAGCTTTGAGTCCAGAAAAACGCCTAGGTCTTTCACGCAATGCACCCGTTCGGTAGTCGTCAGCCCAGTGGCAGGCGCGTAGGCAACATTTTATATATTATGACAGCGGGCCCAGCACAGCAAAATAAACGATTTGAGCCCGGGACATGCTGCCTACTGTCAAATGCTGCTGTTGGTATATGCCTTGACAGTGGCCTGATAGTCGTGCCTACTGTGTTACCTGACTTATAACGAATATACGTTGTATACGAGTACCCCGAATACAACGTTTAGTTCGTCTACTTTTACATTGTAAATGCTATGCAAAATTAGACGTGTCACGTTGTATTCGGGGTACTCGTATACAACGTATATTCGTTATACGTCAGGTAACACAGTAGTAGTTTGTAGTTTAAAATAATCGGTTGTTTCTTGCGTGAGAAAGTAATGACTGTACACTTAGGTGGGTTGACCACCAGTCGGTTTAGACTACACCAGTCAGCAAAGATGTCAATCTGATTTTAAAGAGAACGGCAGAAGGTTGCTGTGCAACAAGTACCCAAAGTTACTGTCAGGTGGCGCTCCATGAGATATGAACGAAACCATCTCAAAAGATTTCCATCGATCCCTAGCCTATCAAGCTAAGCGATCGCAATTTCGTGGTTCAGCTTATCGAAGGTTGCCGTAAGATGTGTGTAGATAACGTCCGTTTGGGTCCGAGCAATCAAACTGTCTGTGATGTAAGACATTAGGCACAGCAGGTTCGTAGTTGTGAAACGCCCAGTTATTAATCCGTGTTGATCTATACTTAGATATTGCTTGCAATGTGCATTTAGGGACTCTATGACAACCAATTCAAAAAGTTTTGATACAGCACTCAGAGACGTGATTCCCCGGTAGTTGTTTACGTCGCGTTTGCTTCTCTTTTTATGAACAGGAAACATTTCCGCATTCTTCCAGCAAGACAGAAAGATGCCGCCTGAAAGGGAGAGCTGGCATATGCGGCGCAGTGGATCTAAAAGACAAGTGATGTTCTTTTTAAGAATAATCGACGGAACACCATCGGGTCCATCATATCAGAGTGGCAGCTACCTAGAAAAACCTGTAAATGCGGGAATCTTCAGGGAATTTTGTTTGTTCATGGAAACTTTTGTCCTGATCACGAGCGTTCATCTTTCCACGTAGGAACCATCCAGCTCCTGGACAGTTATAGTACCGCAATTCTGTCACAAATCATTGGCCTGTTGAATGAAAACAACCGCACCCTGAATCTCTGCTTTGTGAGTGCTCGTGATACAGCTCATTTCCTCTCCACGGGCACTCTAACCTTTAGTCAAGGAAGTGCATCATCACCCTGCTTTAGTTATCGTGATCGAAAATAATATTGTCCATGATTTCACCAGCTTTCCAAACGCTGTGTCATATGACTTCCGTAGAGCTGGCCATCGCAGTATTGTCCATGTGCTGTCTAACCTAGATTGGGAGCATATTCTAGATTCCACGTCTTGGCATATGTCATTGACAGACACGTTTCCAAAAAGATCATCCATATCGACTCTCGCGTCCCGTGGATGACGAAAGATCTTCGCTCGTTGAAAAGAACTAAGAAGGTTGCTCTCAGAAGATTTACTAAGCTCCGCACACTGCCGCTGAAATGCTACTATGTCAGACTCAACCACGAGTATAAGCGGTTAAGTCGTCTCTGTTTTCAACGCTATCAAAGGAGGATTCAACGCCGGCTAAAATCACACCCGAAATCCTTCTGGAACTTCGTAAATGAGCAACGCAGGGAAGTCGGCTTACCCTCTTCCATGATTTTTAATGGTGAAACAGCTGGCAATTGCAACTTGTTCTCAGCCAAATTTGCTAGTGTGTTTGAAGACGAGCAACTCTCCGCTAATCTCATTACTTCCGTGGCCAGTAATGTTCCTTTTATCAACCAAGCCACTACAGATACGATTTCTAGAGCAGCATCTAAACTTAAGACTTCATTGGCACTATATTGGAATCGGGGGGTTGAAACCGTTCTCCACCCTACATTATAAGCCATTTGTTTCCATTAGTTTATTGAGTAAAGCTTAAAAACTGTCTTAAAAAAACTTTGCGGAGCCGAGTAGTCATGAGATATTTCCTTCACCAACGCTAGCCACTTTCCTTCCTATTCGTCCTCTTTACGTTGCTTTAAGTTGTCAATTATTTCAAATTTGTAGACGTAATAGGCATAATTCCGATGCTTGACAACAGGTGGCTGCGGTTTCTGGGCATCGCTACTGTTCTGCTCGACCTCCGGGGACGTCATGTAAATATTCACCACCGGTTCGCCCAGTCAGTAAAGGCACGGTATTATCAACACCGACAAACCGACATTAATGACCATAAAATATAAAATTTCTGGTCAAAGCACACATCTCATCTGTCTTCGTGTTCGCCGAAAACGTTTAGCTAAGCCACGAGCACTCGTGCAAAATGTATGAACTGGTTTCTGGACACGTTATTTTGCCACCTTGCTGATAAGTAGGATACAGACAATTTTCTACAATGCTAATACAGTCAACCAGAGTTGCGACCTATCACAATCACGATCGTCAAACAGTTGATGGTAGTAACGCTTGGTACATTCCTATCAATGTGAAGCACTCTCACAGCAACTGGTGAATGCCGTTTTCGGTGGTGATCCATCAATGACTTTTATATAATGTCCAGACCAACAGGCAGCCTGCTGGTGTAAGAAGCAAAATTTTTGTAAATATTGCTGAGCAAGCGAATGACATTTGCACATTTCACTAACACCAATAAGCCTGTTGGCTCGGACTTTATATAAAGGACGGTGATCCATCAATCTATCCGACAATCACGACACTCATCTGTTCTCGTTTTGAGACAGTTGCTGCTTTGCATGCTTATGGGAGTGAGCCAGATTTGATTGTACCTCACACAGTCGCGTGTCCGAGACGAACTTGGAATGCATTTCGCTTTTTATGATCATCGTACTGCAGAAGTTTTCGTTGTGCTTTACATCATCAGCAGCGAGTGTTACGTTTTGCCTGTGAGCAGCGACCATTACTGGCTCTACCTCTCACTGCGCGACAAAACGTTCTGTCAGCGATAGTCGGTTGATGCGTTGCCGAGTGTCAAGTGAGTGTCATGATATTTTGCATCACTGCAGTCAACTCTATTCTCGATTCCTCTGTTACTCGATATTCTTCCAACCAGTGCTGTTAATTTTCATATGAACCAATAGAACCATTCAATCAATTCTGTGAAAACGAATTCTCACATGATCATAATTTGAAGAGCCCCTTTCTCATTCGAAGCTCATCGTCACTGTCAATTGAGTCACTCACTATCATTATTGATATACGACAGTGGAGTATGGATGAAACCCAGCAAAATGGTCCCAAACAGATAAGTGGAGCCGATGTCGGATCAATTTAACGCCAATGTCGAGTTGTTGTCGGGTCAATGTCGGATCAACATTGGGGTTTGGTAGAAGTCAGGTTGGCTTAGCTTTTTCGCCGGAATGTCGACCAGAGCTCCGTTTATGTGTAGGTTACACTCAATTGAATGATATCAAGCGTTTCTCAAATGAGCATGATCCATGCCTTCGTCAAATGAGTAAGCAACTGATATCACCCATTTGAAGGAGGTCCACTTTAATAGCCGATAGCTGCTTTTCTCATTTTCATAAAAAAAACTATTCAATTGATTTTGAGAACTTACAGCACTGCTTCCAACTCAATGCGAAATCTAGGGGCCATATTATGGAACCATGTCGTTTCCATACAAGCGTTCATACGAAAAATGATTAGTTTCGACTTCTCCAATGAAGCCCCAAACTACCTTCGACTACCTAGGCTCATTCCAAACAAATTTATTCGATGATCCATTCAATATCGATTTGACTGTACGTGGAATTTTCAGGAGTCTAATTAAGTACTAAAGAAAAGTTGTTTGGATTGTCCTTAACAGACCTCCCAAATGATTGAATTTCAAAAAATCTTTTGAACATATGCCAAACTTCTTCATAATCCTTTGCAATAATTGTTCAACTCAGTGCCAACATTTCAAAGGGGCGTAATTGCATTTGTAAACAATGGCTTTAGCCGTCGATTTCTCGCAAATAAAAGCATAATAATTAATTACATCAACAGGTAGAGGAATGTCTCCTCTACCAGCTAGCATTGTGAGAAATCGATGGCTACAACCATTGTTTACAAAAGCAACTACGCCCCTTTGAAATGTTGGCACTGAACTGTCCATAAAAAAATCTTCTTGTTGTCTGATAAACCTGAAAACTTCTTAAGCTAACCCTGTGAGCATATTGCAACTGTTCATCAGTGACCACTGTGAGCATATTCCAATTATTATTCAAACCTGCAAACCTTGAAAGATTGCATAACTTTCCTGAAAGTCCTCAGTGAGAGGTTTTCCCGGAACAATCCTCCTATTTCTTCAAGCGCTCCAAATTTCTCCAACACTTTACATAGAGTTGAGAGTTTCGATGAAAGATACCCGAAATTACGATGAAAACTCTTTATTGTTAAAAGGAAAAACCGTATTGAATGAAATATTGAGCATGGTTGACCACCAACTATTGCTACCCGTTACTGCTAGATCAGCACAAAGAATAATCAGACAATGGCTGTATTTATACATCGATATTAGGATTATTAATTTAAAAAATGTATAATTATTAAAAATTTACTGAAGTCACTTGTTTTTTAAAATAAATTCACTAAAGTCAGTTTTATCACCATCTTGTATGATTTTAAAATAAGTTGACCTAACAATTCTCGCAGCGAGGAAGGTTAATTTGTATTGCCCAAATTATTCAAAAATCGAAGTGATCTACACACTAATCCAGGCCTTCACTGTTCGGTAAATTTTGATCTACAGAACTGTTCGGTAAATATTTTAAAATCAGTGAAAAATCCAATAATTATTAAATTTATTCGTAACTTGTACAAACTTTGTTCAGTTTACCCCATTTATTTATAAAAAAAATGACAATTTTATTAATTTCTCACGTGTACCGGTTATTTGAAATTTTTCCCGACTTCGGTGATCTGAATTAAGTGTGTAAGTTTCTTTATATAAGAAAAAAAATAACTTAAGCTAATTATTATTGAATGAAAAGTGACTTCCATACTTGGTTTGAATTGAAAATTATGTTCTTCTAAACCGAAACAACAATACTCCAAAAGTTCATTACCTTACTGCTACAAATAAGTAGCTTATGAATGTTATATGAAGCTACTGCCAACTCTCCCTTACTCAATATTTTCTAACTCGATATTCTGCCTTACTCGATGCAAATTCATGGCGGCAACTCGTTCGCATTCACCACAGAACTTCTATACTTAGCTGTAAATCTCTATGTCCTTTCTAACTCCATGATCCCTTCAATATCAATATATTTAGATTTAACTGTACATACATACTTACTGCACTGTTGAATGAATCCGATGAACACTTAAATGCTTTTGAAAGTTTAACATTACTACAAACAGTGAACGAAAATATTAATTTATTTACCTAACAACAACAACAAAAAATCCTTCGAAATCCTACGCTACCATCTTCCCCAAGGTGATTTCTACAATTCTAATATTTGCGGTAGAATACTTATGTGAACTTGAGTTGGTTAATTCATTTGTTGAATCGGAGGAAAACTTATTCAATATGTTTTCTTCAAGGAGCATAGTTTGACGCCTGAATGGAATAATTATGAAACTGAATTGTATAATGAGTAAACATGATGTAGCATTGGTCATCAGACAAGCCATAACTACCAAATTTACAGACATTGCAAGGTGAAACCAACACTTAATTGCTTTACCTAATAGTTGTATTTCACAAGAACTACACACTCAGAATTTACTGTTGAGTTCGGTAATTTTTTACCGAAATCTCAACAGCTGAACGTTCGATAAAATTCTGACCTTCATTTTAAAGCCTTGTAGAGGAGATTGTTTTAAAATGCATTTAAAACATTTAAATTGAACTGCCCAAATTTTACCGAACAGTTCGTTGAGATTTCGGTAAAAATTACCGAAGTCGGCGATAATTTCTAAGTGTGTAGAATGATACGTATCAACTTTGTTTTAGTGATATACATATTTCAGAAAAAGACACACATCTTAAGACCAACTAAGGGAACTAACCATTTATCTTGAGATTATACAACGTTTTTCTACATAATTCTACACTGCATTCAATTTACAGAATCAATGAACTGAATATGCTTTCTATAAATATAGTGTGCACCCACATTCTAGATAAAAGATGTAAAACTAAATGGTAAAGGTGAAGTTTTGAAGGACGTAGGACCACGAAAGGGTAAGTAAAGCTAAATAAGGTTAGCTTAACAACAAGCAACCATAAAAAGAATGTAAAACGAAAGATAAACTAGTCTTTATTGGGAAACAATAGCGATGATTTGAGCAAAAAACTGTGATATTAAGATGTAACAATACGGATTTCGTATTTCATAAATAGTTTATTAATATAAATGACCATATTCATTACAAACGATAAACAATTACACTAAAAGTTTCACAGCAAAATACGTATATCACTCGATCTTACAATTTGTTTAGATACGAATGTTCTTTTCGTATAACTTAAAACCTAAACATGAAGTTTGGAGAGAAAGTACAGTAAAATGCTCCACATTTAGGGTAAGATAAACTACATTGTATGTTGTAATGAACATTTCTCCAGTCTAACTCGTTATGAAATACATTAAAATTGTAAAATATGTACAAAAGCTTGATTTAAACGAAATTTCAACAGTTCTGCTGAACAGACCTCACCGTGCACATACAAATACAACCACTTTTATGTATTGAACTCTTAATCTACATAAGAATACCCACCAAAAATCACTTTTTAACACAAAGTTAGGCAACTTAATGAACTAATGGCTATTCTTAACGACAGTTCCATTAAAAAATGAACTATCACACAAAACTCCAATGGAAATTTTGACCACAAAAGCACTCTCTTCCAATGCCAACCAAACACCTCAGTTTACAGCTATGAACATTTCGGATTCCAGCACCGTGAAACAACCTACAGTCTGAAGGAACTCCACCGAAAACGGACCATTCAAACGCAACCCTGCTAGTTGCTTTGTTCTCTACGGACACCTTGAAGGTCACCGAGGACAGGTCACCAAGAAAAGTCCCAAAAAGCACCGTTAAACCCGTAATATCCGCTCTCTGGAACCGATGACCTCCACCCAAGCGGCCTCAACTTAAGCCCCATCCATTCCCCGGACTGGATGCTTGAACTGGCCCTACCAGCCTACGACGCAATAAGGTGAAAATCGCATAAAATCCACAAATTCCGAACCGAAACCACCGGAATCGGCCACAGTTCGCCGGTTCCCGCCAAAAGCACTGCAAAATCGTCGAAAATCCGGATAATTGGCGGTTTTCTGACCATCACCCGGAAAATTTTCACCACAAAGAAGTCGATTACGTAATGGTGAAAAAATCCGAAAAACGGCCAAAATACACAAACGACCACTCCATATCGAAGATTTTACCGGTAAATAACGTTCCGAAGTAGAAAAACTTGGAAAAAGTACCGAAAATCCCGTTTTTCCAAGGATCCAAGTAGGACCGCGTGCTTCTCGAAAGTTCCACGTGACGTGGCACTTTTCAGAGGCAGGAAAAAGTCCCTAAACGGACGGAAAACCGGAAAACCCGTACCGATTCACTATGGGGACCACTTTTCCTTTAATTTTAAGCCGGCCAGTTCGAATAAAAGTGCAATTTGCAAAAAAGGGTCCCCCTTCGATTTTGACGATACTGGGCTCGTTGGAAAGAGCGGACCCAGGGGAAGCGTTCCAAACGGTTTCCAGCGTGTAACGCTCCCTGGTTCCGGTCCAAACTGGCCAGTTTGTTTCCAGGGAACCCATCTAGTGCGATGTCGAGTCCGAAGACTTGCCTTTTCCAAGCGAAAATCCCGACTTTGGCTGAGGGCAAGCCACGCCCTGACGCTGATTCCAGAGAGCGGAACGACCCCGGGACATGAAAAACGGATTATTTTAGCCGGAAATGTCGTAAATTGTAAATAAACAAGCTATTTACCTGGCTCATGACGAATTCCAGAGGGTTTTTCCTTATGATTGCCAACTAAACTTGTTTCAATTTACGGGGATACACGTTCAGAACGTCACGTCTCATCCAATTCATCGGAAAACGGGGAAATTCACACAGAAACGTTGTAATAAACAACCGAAAACTAATTTTTACTTCTGTGAAAAAAATTCACCACTTGCTAACGGACGCCATTTTGGATGACCTCTTGTCTGGGCAACGTAGCGAAGAGTGAAAATTTCCCTTCACCAAAGCGAAACGGATCGAAAATCACTACCGAAAAATCGAAATTTGCACCGATAAACACACAAATTAACTTCCGAAATTTACGTCTTCACACTCGCGGTCACCGGTGTTATTGTTTTGAGGCGGCTTTGGGTCCTGATGAAGTTGTGATTGCACAGTGATCTTCTTGGCAGTACACAGCACAAATTTCGCGTTGCAGTTCACTTCAATGCGCCATCTTAAAATGACGACCCCGCAGCTTGCTACGCGAGCGAGCCGTTCGCGACTGGGGCGAAAAAAAACGAGTGAAAAGTCTACACTCTTTTCTCGCCCCGTGGTGGCCGTTGAACTGAAATTGTACAGTGGAGGGCAGTTTCGGAGGTCACGGTGCTTAGGTCAGGTAGGAATCATCCCGCTCTACTTGAAAAACGAACTCAAAAGTTATTTGGTTCAAATTTAGTTCCGTTGAACTTTCTTGCTGATCAATAAGGCACTACACGTACAAACAGAACTTAATGCTCTTGAAAGAACCGCCAATGTATATTGAAAACTTGAAAGTTCGACAGACTGTGAAGTTCACAAAAAGTTTTTTTTTCCTTGATATGTTTTTCGTCGATCTTGTTTTCCGTGCTGAGCACGCTACCGCAATGCTACCGACGCCAGGGAGACAGCTCCCACACATGGACCCTACCTATTGACCCATCAACTCATGAACCGGGGACCAATGGCCTTGCTTTCCCCGTGATCAGTGATGTTATGCTTCAGAACAACCCGGCGGCGCCGACTGGGATTGAACCCAGGTCTGCTGGGGTGAGAGGCAATCACGCTTACCACTACACCACAGGCGCCGCTGTTCACAAAAAGTATAAAGAACTTGTTTCGAACCACTAACACAAAGTTCAATCCGAGGGGGCTGACAGATCTAAATCGCAATTCTAGATGCTCATTTCGCGCATCTTCTTACATCGCGCATCATCATTTTTGCAGGAAAGCTTCAGAATCGTCATCAATCCTCTTTTTATCTACTCAGCGTACACGCAGCTAGCCAGCAAACCACAAACTTTCCTGCATCGTAGATAGAGTCGTTCCCCTCGGTTCAATCTTAGTACACACTTAATCTAGCTCGATAAAATCTCCAACAGCCGATAACCTCGGCATTAACTTTTGCTGATATCTCTGCAAAATATCTGTTTGTAAACTGATATCTCAGCAAAATGATATTTGTTAGCTAAGTCTCGGCAATTGTTTTACTGAATCTCAGCAAAATAAATTGCAGAAATACTCGGCTGTTGGAATCTCGGCGAAAAGATTTAAGTGTGTACTAACCGTACTTTTAAGGAGCACGAAAGTTCACAATTAAGCTATGTTAAACTTCTTTGAGACTTTAAAGTACACGTAAAATTCTAGATAAGACTTTGCAACAACTTAAAAAAATATAAACAAAGTTCGAAGGAAGTTCGACTAGAACAAGTTCATAAGCAACTTTAGAAATGTCAATTTAAGAAATGTTGTTTACGTTTGAAGAGGAAAATCCATCAACCGCTCATTTTATCTGTCAAACTTTCATAGTGAATCAAAACAGACATAGTGTAGTACTAGAATTTTGTACAAGAATTGGATACGCTTATAGATGTACTTGGGACCAAGACCAATAGGCTAGTCAAGTAGTGAGCCAATTTAAAATCGTTAGTTTCCAGCTGAGTACTGCGAACTCAGCCATTTTATTTTTCAAGTGAGCTTTAGCCAAGTGACACTTAAGGATTATCCCATTTTTACCAAAACCTCTCATAAAATTTTCGAATTGCACAAAATTTCAATCCATCCTATCTATTCACACCGAATCAGCATTTCGTTGTTCGGTATTTTTTAAACTGGCTTTGAACGGTAAAACATTTTATTTGCTGATGGCCCAGTTTAAATCGAAAATAATGCTGATACTCGGTAGTGGTAAACTGAATGTCGGTATCTCAAATGAAAAGTACTGAAAATCGTAAGTTTAGCAACTGAGTTTTTCGGGAAATAAAAAATGCTCGGTACTTTAATAAAACTCAGTAGAAAAATTTACTGAACGAACCGTTTTTAATGACCTTTTACTGTAGCTTCTTCAAAATTTACATGCATTGCTGAGAACGACGCTGACGTTTAATTTTCAGCCACCATTCACACATTTTGAGCGGAGAAAAGTTAAAATGGCAAAAAAAAGTTGAAAATCTTAAAAACTATATCGTTGCCAGCAGGATATGATCTCGACGAGTTTGTTCCGGTAGAAGATACTGATTAGTTTTTGGGATACTGTATAACACGATATCCCGTTGAAATTGTCTTTCGCTGGAGTTGGGGAGAAAGTAATGAATTAGTGCTTTTAAAAGTTATTTATTTACACGGAATCATTCCAGGTAAGTTTAATTAAAATATTATGTTTTCTATCAAAGCTAACTAATTGTGAACTTTTAGAACAGATGGATTACAACATTCTGTCGAAGAATCATTCAAGACTGTCCCTAAAGGCGGACAAGAGGCGAAATTAGGAGAAGGAAGCTCGCGACGTTGTATTATGAGCTGATCTGGTCGCAGTATCAATGAAAGATTTATCAATCAATATGTGTTCGATATGAGAATTAACGATGGGTTTTTGTAAGTTTTGATTCAAAAGGAAATAAATGAATATGTTGAAAAACCTCCGCAACATAATATTTTAAAATATAAATAAAGAATTACTGAGTCGTTCGGTACAACAATTGTTGTACACAGCAAAAAAGTTGTTGAATATTACATCGAAACAGCTGCAACCAGGTCAATCCATCGGTTGCGTAATATCACATTGTACGATGTACATCGATTCTGCGAACAAAATTACATCGATTGATGTAATATTGTATCTGCTTTTTGCTATTACATCATTATTTCATACATCAGCTTGAATTACGTTGATCGATATTACATTTTTTTTTGCTGTGTATCGTCGGTATTATTTCGACAGATACATAATCACGTTTACTGAGCTTTCCAGTTATTTCTACACAACGGTTTACTGATTTAACGGTATTTTTTGATAGTTCATAATATTTACAATTTGCGGAGTGTTCGGTAAAAGAATTTGTCATTGATCTGATTACTGGGAGCTCTGCAATTCAAAAACCCAGTAAAATTTTACTGGGTTCGGTAATCCCAAGTAAGTGTGTATGTTTGTTTTGATTCGCTATGAAAGTTTGACAGATAAAATGAGGGGCTATTGGATTTTCCTATGTTTCGAGGAGTGAATCGATTAGCTTGGGACCGAAGATAGTACCAGAGCTGAGCCAAAAAGTTGAGCTCGTTTCTTCGGAACCTTCTGGTCTTAGAGTTACCTCTATGTTATAACGGCTCAGTCTGGACAGCGTTTTAAACGCTGTCCAGACCGAGGTCCAGACTTGAGAGTTATAACATGTTATAACGGTTGTCAAATAATTGCAACACAGAAACCACCATCAAGATAGCGCTATAACATGTTATAACTCTATAGTCTGAACCGAGGGGGGTGACTCTATCTACGATTCAATAAGATTGTGTTTTGCTGTGGCTAGCTGCGCGCACACTGAGTACATATAAAGAAGATTGATGACGATTCTGGAGATTTCCTGCAAAAAGATGATGAGCGATGCAAGTAGATGCGACAAATGAAAGAAGATTTTTCGAAGATTGATTCGCTAGTGTGAGATTTGTTGCGCATCTAAACTTGAGATTTAGATGTGTCGCCCCCCTCAGTCTGAACGTACTATTATAAAGTTTGATTATAGTACGTTCACACTACGGAGTTATAACATGTTATAGCGCTATCTTGATGGTGGTTTCTGTGTTGCAATTAATTGACAACCGTTATAACATGTTATAACTCTCCAGTCTGGACAGCGTTTTACCAACAATCAATACGAAACTAACGATTTTAAATTGGCTCACCACTTTAGTAGCCTATTGGTCCCAAGCAAACGATTAACGTACCCTATTCTAGTTGAAATTCTATTACTACACTATGTTTGTTTTGATTCGCTATGAAAGTTTGACAGATAACATCAGGGGTGTGTGGATTCATGCAGAACATGCAGGGGTGAGTGAAATAGCTTGGGACTGCTTGGGACCGTTGTTCTGGTACTGAGTGAGCCAAAAATAATATTTTTTTTTTTTTTTTTTTTTTTTTTTAACTCTTTATTTGTTTCAAATTCAAAATAAATTACATTTCATTTTAACCTAGGTGCTCCAGTTACTGCAGTAACGTACCAGCCTTAATTGTTATGATATATATCTTAGTGTTTTTACATTGTTCATGTCTTGGCAATTTTAACCTGCATGTCAGTATAACAATTGATATCTTAAAACTAAACACTAAAACTAAATCTTATCTAAGTATAAAGGGAATTAATCGTTGCAATTGAGGATTGCAACGATTTTTGCCTGAAATTATTAATTATTTTGTTGGACATTTGTGCTAAAGTCTCAACATTCGAAATTCTATGTACTTGCAGAACATGCAGGGGTGAGTGAAATAGCTTGGGACTGCTTGGGACCGTTGTTCTGGTACTGAGTGAGCCAAAAATAATAATGATTTTCTTCGGAACCCAGTGGTCTTAGAGTTACCTCTATGGTTGTACCAACAATCAATACGAAACTAACGATTTTAAATTGGCTCACTACTTGACTAGCCTATTGGTCCCAAGCAAATCGATTAACGTACCCTATTCTAGTCGAAATTCTAGTACTACGCAATGTTTGTTTTGATTCGCTATGAAAGTTTGACAGATAAAATGAGGGGTTATTGGTTTTTCCTATGTTTCGAGGGGTGATTCGACAAGCTTGGGACCGAAGATAGTACCAGAGGTGAGCCAAAAAGTTGAGCACGTTTCTTCGGGACCTACTTGTCTTAGAGTTACCTCTATGGTTGTACTGTACCAGGGAGGCAACTTCAAAATCATCTTCAGAATTTTGTTCTGAATCCTTTGAAGTGCTTTTTTCCTGGTAGTGCAGCAACTAGACCATATTGGTACAGCGTAAAGCATGGCCGGTCTAAAAACTTGTTTAAATATTAGAAGTTTATTCGTCAGGCAAAGTTTGGATTTCCTGTTTATAAGAGGATACAAACATTTAATATATTTGATACATTTGGCTTGAATGCCCTCAATGTGATCTTTAAAAGTTAATTTTTGGTCAAGTATTAATCCAAGATATTTCACTTGGTTTGACCAGGAAATTGGAACTCCGTTCATAGTGACTATGTGACTACTACTAGGTTTCAAAAACGAAGCTCTAGGC